CTGTTGTAAGCAACTTTGAAGCAATTAGTATGTCCGAGCTAACAGTTTCTCGTCGGGATACTTGAAATTGGTGCAGATCTAAAAGAATAACTGCGGGAAAAATGTGTCCATTTTGTGCAGTATTCTATAGCTCTCTATGAAAGTAAATACATTTCTGACACAGCACAATTAGCTGTTTTCGTTAGAGGTGTCGAAACAGACATTACTTACTATCACCGAAGAACTACTAGACGTTATCCCGCTCAAAGATACAACGACCGGAGAAGATATTTTTGGTGCTGTGGAGGGCACAATGAATGACATGGGTCTACCGCTCAAAAGGTTGCGTAGTGTTGCTACTGATGGAGCGCCAGCAATGTTATCGGAAGCACAAGGTTTTACTGGGCGAATGAAAAGAAAAGTACGCGACGGTGGGCTACCTTCGATATGATCGGTACACTGCATTTTACATCAGGAACAACTATGTGCAAAAACCATCCACAATTTCAAACCTGTTATGGATGAAGTAATGAAATGTGTCAATTTCTGCAGAAAGCAAGACAGTTCAAAGTATTTTTGAAAGATATGGAAGCAACTTACGGTGACATACCCTTTTATTGTGTTACGCGCTGGTTAAGTTGCGCAAAAGTGCAAAAGGTTTTTTTGGAATAATTGACGACGTTGATGTGTTTATGGATATGAAAGGGTATTCTCAGCCGATTTTGCGTGATTAACAATTGCATGCTGACCTTGCTTTCTTAAGAGATATGACTGGATTTTTGAGCGAATTGAACGTTTCCTTACAAGGGAGAAATACGTTGATTAACACCTTGTATGACAGAATCAAAGCCAGCAAAATGCAAATTTTGTTATTGATAAGTCGGCTTGAGAGGAACAATTTTGACAATTTCCCTTCCTTAAGGTCGCTGATTTTTGTTAACATTTGATTATTTGGCAGAGTACCAGCTGTCGTTAAAGAATTTGCACGATGCATTCAGTGCTAGTCTCAAGGAGATTGATGATCTTGCAAGCAAGCTTGAGATTTTCACGACGCTCTTTAAGTGCGTTTCGAAACAGCACCGCCGCAGTTCCAAATGGAGCTGATTAAGTTTCAATGCGATACGATCCTTAAAGATAGATACTACCACTACAATAGTAATTTAATTTCATTTTATCAAGGTGTTGAGCAGCAGGAAAATTGTTGCACTGACCTTGGAAATTTGCGCCATGTTTGGTACAACGTACTTATGCGAGCAGATGTTTTCTATAATGAATTTGAACAAAAGTAAAAACAGGTCTTCTTTGTCTGTTGTGTCCTTAGATGCAATACTCAGAATTTCCACTGATCAAACCATTGTACCAAATATTGGAAAACTTGTTTACTCGAAACGGTGTCAAAGATCATCTTGAGAATAAATGTGTTTACTTCGAAAGTATGACCATCATTTTATCACCCGCGCGCTGACTGGATCACACCAATTCAACTGTCAACACGAATGTCACTCCGCTTATTTTCCTTTGGGGCTGGGAGCCGGCGACATTAAATCTAACTATATCGCGGATTCGACTAAACTGAATAGTAATATGTAGTTTTTAAGTAAATGAACAAAAAGGGCTTGGGGTGCAACCTGCTGAAAGTACCTGTCATACCGACTTGAAGATACAACGTGATGGTAGGATTCTACTATAACCTATACATATATCAACGGCCTTGTCCGCTCATATTCATTTTACATATACTTTCAAACATCTAGTAGCCCGGTATCAAACTGATAAACTCAAATGAGCTTTTGAATGCAAGCATAAAGCATACAAACAGGGGTATTATTTTTATCCATACCTATTTGCATTGCCTGCTCTAGCTTTCAGTTGAACTTTTGGCGGAAATAAGTTTGTCATACCAAGTTTTTTCAAATTAGCCTAAAATTTCCTTCAAACCTATGTAGGCTCCATTGGATTCTGCCAACCCGGTGACATTCTTCTTTCACGCTTTATCTTCAAGTCGGTATGATAGGTACTCCTGGTAGAATGCTTCTTGTTCGTTTACTTGAAAACTCCATATTATTACTAAATTTAGTCGAATCCGCGATGAAGGTGGATTCAATGTGACCAGCTCCCAGGCCATTTCTATTCGCCGAGCGTTACGGCTACCACAACACCTTCACGGAGTCGCACCGCAGCACTGTAATGCGAGCGGTGCTCGGCGCTGCCCTGGTGGCACCTGGTGGCCCTAACTGATCAAGCAGATCGGAAATGTTTGGCAGGGGTACTTGTCGTCTATGGTGATTTCGTTCAATTTACGATAATCAATCACCATACGCCATTTTTGTTTGCCTGAGGCGTCCATTTTCTTTGGTACGGCCCACACTGGTGCTGACCACGCACTCTGGGAATGCCTAAATTCCCTGTTTCAATAATTTGGAAATCTGGTCTTTAACTTCCTGTTTGTGAACATGAGGGTAACGATATGATTTAGTAAAGATAGGTTTATTGGTAATAGTGTCAATTGAATGCTTAATTTCTCTAGTGAATGACAGATTGTCACCTTCCAAATGAAATATGTCCGAAAATTCTAGGCAAATATTAATGATAAGTTCCCTATCGTCATCGTTAAGATGATCTAGGCGCAACTGATCTCTAATAGCATCTCTACGGTTATACTGACATTGATCATGTATAGATGTGTTGAAATTATTGACTGATGTTTCGTTGAAGGGTTCGAATTCCAATTGGGGCAAAATTACGTTTTTGGAAATGGCGTTACAGTTTAAGACTGTAGTGAGAAATTCACCTTTATGATCAATTTTTACAATGGAACTAGGTAGTCGCACTTTTCTACCTCACATGCCAGAAGAATGGCTTCTGTATTTCTAAGCTCGGATTTGAGCTTAACAACTTGTTCAACTCTGAGAGAAACGTAAATATTATTTTGAATTTGGGAAATTTCTTGGAATTTGGAAATTTGGGGAACATTTTCGTCACCAACTTTAAAAGAGGAAGAGTTTTGAATTTTGTGATCAATTGGCGATTTTTCAAATCGATAATACAATCATAGTGTTCAAGGAAATCTGATCCAAGAAGACCATCGAAGGGGCAAAAAGGGCTAGAGCTGCTTCTGTAATGGAAATTTTCTCGTCAGTAATACCTCGGATAGAGATATTTTCGGTTACACGTTTGATATAATTTTGGCAGGTATTCCCCTTGAAAATGGAACAACCGGCACCACTGTCAATAAGAATTTTGAATTTTCCTGTCGCGTCTTTAATATAGTAAAGATTATCTGGGCTAACAGAAAGAACAGTCGACGGGACTATAATCGAAGGACTTAGATGAACATCAGATTGTGTGTGCTGCTGGCGCTTGCACAAGGGGTCCGATCGTTAACGTTGAGCTTCTGCAAGCTCGCAATGATATGATCCGTATTGACGTCGCGATTCACGGGCGGGGTTTGTCCTTGACTGTTCGCTCCTGAAAATTCTGACATTGCAAATTTGGATAAGTGTTAACACGTTAAACGCCATGGCCATGGGACCGCTTGACAACGGGCTTATCACGCCACGGCGGTCCGTACGGACCGCTTTCTATTTAATTTATTTTCACGGTGACTCCAGCCAAAGGTCCATATTTAAATTCATTTTAGCGTTAGATAAGGACCGCTGTTGCTGGTACGGATTATACCCTAATGCCAACTTTGTATTTTTGTTTTAAATAGAGTTATTCAATTTTTTATTGACAAAAACCAATAAGATTTCAGTGAAAATGCTTATATTTATATATATATATATATATAATATGTATATCACATCGTTATTAGACCATCGATCAACAGGACAAATTGCATGCTGTAGATCATTCGGCGCGTTAGGTAGCCCATATACGGGTGATCTAACGCAATCCATCTAGAACAGCCACAAATGTCATATTTAATCATTTGGCAAGTTTTCAGAGGGATGACTTATATCTGCTTTTTGTAAAATTTGGGTAATTTAGTTCATCCATTCACCAGATGTGCGGATAGCGCTAGTATAGCTCGTATATTGGTGCGCGTATACCTCAGTTCATCTCTACAGTGGATCGATCATCTAGACATGTAGAGGGTAAGGTCTATCTGAATCTCAAGCGATAGATCATCCATAAACGTGGCAACATGTCTTCATGAAATATTTATCGATGTGTTAGCATTCAGCTTTCGGCTTGATGTTTGATCCCAGGGATCAAGGAAATAATTGTGTTGCTTGACTGTAGTATATGTCAGTTTGAAAATCAGAAGATACGAAACGGGTTACTGATTTCAATTTTTTTTGTAAAGCCTCTTGCTTTTAGACATATAGCATATTGATAATAATGTTTCATGGAAAGACTGACCAAAGACTCGGTTTCGGCTAGTTTCGGCCAAAAATTCTAGTTTCGGCAAAGAATTGACCGCACATTCGGGTGCACCGAAGGACTCTTCTATAATGTTTATTGTTTTTATTCATGTTAAATTGTTAATATAACATAGATAAATATGTATCTTAATATCCATCTTATCTAAATATTTCAACTACTGCTTTTATTCCATTTAATACAAGTTAACTGTTGTGTGTGTACGCTAGTGTGGAAGATAGATTTTAGGATCTATACAAAATCTCGCAGTGTTTCATTAAAGTCTCGGTTTCGGTCGAAAATGACACCACGGCCGAAAATTCGGTTTCTGTTTTCCATGTCTCATCTAAAACAAATAGTAAAACATACAACTGGATTATATATTTTATTGTCTGAAGGTTTTCACAAAAATAGAAATGGAAATACTCGCCATATAAAAAAACATAAGAATGAACTGTTTTATGTTTACAACTGATTTTGAACAAAAACTTTAATTTTTAACCAGTTTTTATCTTGAAGCAGCTCTTGATGTTGATCAAGGAGCTCTTCACATTCATTTTGCCTTGCAGGTCGCTTTAGCCTGATGTGATCTTTGAAAAATTTATTAACCACCTTTTTTTGCTCTTCTGTCCATGGTACCAGGATCCTCTTCTTCCTTATTTTTTCTGTGTACTTTTTATATTTATGTCAAATTCCGTTTCACTCCTTTCTTGTGTGCTTGTGGTTTCATTATTATCTATATCCAAAACACTAGGCATATCTTTATCTTTTCCCGCAACCTCCATCAAATCCTCGTCCAGATTGAGATTGATTTCATCTAAGCTTTTTCCTTTGAACTCTCCAGATTTTCCTTGTTCCATGAGTATCATCAATTTGGAAATCTTCGCCGTCTGATATACATCATCCAGGTTCCGAAAATTCCTCGTATGCTTGTTTATTTTCGTTATTCTTAGCTGATGTGTATGTATAGAACAGTAATCTTTGGAGTTCTCCTGGGCGGCGTCTATTCAGAAGCAATAATCTGCAATAGACTGTTTCAACCAACTTGATATAGGCCCTCTTGTCATGCCTGCTAGCTGGCAGCATATATACTGCCGAAGTAACTTTTTTCAGTAAGCACTCTTTCAATAATTTAAGATCCCCAGTAAGTGGTACTAGAGTGACCTTGTTCCATCTATGTATATTCAGATCCGTTGCCTGACCTGAAACATCAAGTCTCCAGTTTCCCTCGATGATCTGAATTAATGTTTTAAGGTCTGCTTCTATATCAGCAGACTGGACAGATGGGAGCACTGCCGACTTCTTTAATGCCTGAACGAGTGCAATGTCACAGCATTGTTTCAACGTGGTACCCATATTGAGAGCAAACGTAGGTGTTTGATATGATTGAGACTTTTTGTCATATTTTGAGGTATTTTCTGTGGCAGAAACAAGAGTATCATAGTTTACCGGTTTTAGGGCATCAAAAAGTGTTAATATAGCGGGTTTAATTTTCCTAACTTCTATCAAGAGTCTTGCTAGTTCTCTCATTTTTCGTGATGCAACTGTAAGTGTTTCTCTCTGTAAATTTTCAAGTATCTTGAAGCAAAGGCACATATAAGAACATCCTTTTTTGCTACAAGTGAAATGTGATCTGCCCTCATTCGAGAAAATACAGCAGATGCTAAATGCAGATGTTCTGTTCTCAAATGCCCGAGCAATAAGTTTTGCCCCTCGCCTCGGACATTTTTTGTGATTTTTCCTTAACACGGATTTTCACCGCAATATTTACGGTGTCGCCATAAATTCCTTGTAGAATAGAATCCAAAGCAGTATGTGCAAGGTAGGTAATTTGAATCCAGTTTACCCTGTCGGTACGGCTTAGCAAATTCGTTGCTATTTAAATATTCCCCTTTTTTCTTAAATCTAATAGTAAATTATACCTATCTTTACTGCGTGGAGGTAGCGCTTGGATCCTCCGTACCTCCATTTCACTCGCGTGATTCCTAAATAAGTGCCTGGGGAAATGTATTACGTAAGATTCAGAAAAGTAACAAAACACGGAATTTTTTTTCATTTGAATATCTCTGATCCTAGTAGGTGATGTACGGGTAGAAACTTCATTCATGGTAGATCCGAGGTTTTCTTTGTTTTCATTCTGAGGCCTTTCAAAGTTCTGCAATTCCTTCTCATCAGAAATATCATCAAATCCTGAAGACTCTTCCTGAAATATGAGTATCTGTGCAACTTGTCGTAAAATTGGTCGCCATAACTTACCAATTCAATAGATTCCTTAGATGGAGAGTAATCAGGATCATCGGTTGTATTTGTGAATCTAAAGGTGAATGATCATCGAAACTCTGAAAATATAGGAACTTGATCAATGCTAAGAAACTTTGATTCAAACCTAGTTACTACTTTTTAGTTTAAATTAGAAGGTGTAGAATTTGTCTGTCCGTATTGTACTTGTTTATCACCGAAACTTGAATCTAAAATCTCTGTTAGTCAGGAATAAAAGAACAAAACTCAACACATTTAATCGAGATTATCGATAAGCAGACTCGCTCTAATTTAGTTGAATTAGAAACACCTGGCGTGAAAATATGAGTATTCTATTGATTTTTTTTCACAAGATTACTGAGGCACTAAATTTCAAAGAAATTTAAATATACAACACAGAAATTGAAACAAAATTTATTTCATTCTCCCCAGTTATACGTTACAGGTTTAACGGGGTTGCCACTAACTGCTTCAGCTATTTAACCGACATTGGCAAGTATTGAAGTATTGAAATAACAATACATTCACGCATATTTTAAAATATGGTATAAACAACAATAAAAGTCACCTCATTCTTATCTACTGAACATTCCTCATTTACTACTCTATTCGGTATAATACATTCATCCTCACTTGGGTCGGTAGGAGGTATCCAACATATTAGAGGAGAACCAACTGGAAGATATATCAAGTGACATATAAATCCGAACACCCAGTTTAAATGGTTTTATTTTAATAAAATTTTGTATAAGTACTTAATGAAGCATAATAAGTAAATGATGAAAATTTCAAAATGATTGCACTGCTTTAAAGCCCTTTGACCTTTAATAATGTGTGGATGCACCCTGATGTGCTACGCATTCTCCAACGCGCCTAGGCATGCTTCTGATCAGGTGGTCAATGTCCTCCTGTGGTATCTCATTCCAGGCAACCACCAACTCCTCTCGAAGTGCTTCTAGAGTCTGAGGAGGACGTTGCAAATTGAGCAATCTCCTACCCATCATACCCCACACGTGCTCAATTGGGGATAAGTCGGGAGATCTTGGTGGGCATGGTAACAGTGTGACATCATTATGTTGAAAGAAGTCTATTGTGACTCTTGCAACATGTGGTCGGGCATTATCTTGTTGGAAAGTTGGATCTGCCAGGGTCTCAAGATAGGGTAAAAGATGGGGCTCTAGAACTTCGTGGATATAACGCTGCGCGCGTTCATGTTACCTCTGATGAAGATTAAAGGTGACCTGGAACCATAAGCAATAGCACCCCAAACCATAACTCCAACGAATGAGAAGTTTTGGCTTGTTTTCATACCGACCACACTGGGTCCTCCCTTTAACTCGAGAACACCGACGTAATCGCCTTGAGTAGTGGAGGCAACGGTCACTCTGGGATCAGGAATGGAACAGTATTGTCTTTAGTGACGAGTCTCGATTTTGTTTAGGCATGCACGATGGTCGTGCCAGGGTTAGAAGGCGACGTGGTGAAAGGAGGAATCCACAGTTTTTTGTTGAAAGACATGTTCATCACACTGTTGGAGTTATGGTTTGGGGTGCTATAGCTTATGGTTCCAGGTCACCTTTAATCTTCATCAGAGGTAACATGAACGCGCAGCGTTATATCCACGAAGTTCTAGAACCCCATCTTTTACCCTATCTTGACACCCTGGCAGATCCAACTTTCCAAGAAGATAATGCCCGACCACATGTTGAAAGAGTCACAATAGACTTCTTTCAACATAATAATGTCACATTGTTACCATGGCCACCAAGATCTCCCGACTTATCCCCAATTGAGCTCGTGTGGGATATGATGGGTAGGAGATTGCTCAATTTGCAACGTCCTCCTCAGACTCTAGAAGCACTTCGAGAGGAGTTGGTGGTTGCCTGGAATGAGATACCACAGGAGGACATTGACCACCTGATCAGAAGCATGCCTAGGCGCGTTGGAGAATGCGTAGCACATCAGGGTGCATCCACACATTATTAAAGGTCAAAGGGCTTTAAAGCAGTGCAATCATTTTGAAATTTTTATCATTTACTTATTATGCTCCATTAAGTACTTATACAAAATTTTATTAAAATAAAACCATTTAAACTGGGTGTTCGGATTTATATGTCACTTAGTATAATTCCTGCAAATGATGTTAATTACTTATTGTTATATGACTAAGGCCCGTATCGTCAGTCGTCCCTACAATTGTAGGACGCGTTTATGGCCTCCTTGATTTCGTTAATATTACGTCTTCTTCCGTGAGGTACATGTATGTCCTGCTTTACATTTCTAGTCTGCTGTCAATCAAAAGCCAATTGTGATGTTAGGTTGTTTCTTTTTCGACGTTTAAAAATCTCAGACAGGTGAATCGAATGCCGAAGGATATTTTCTTGTAAATAGTGTTGATCATTCAATAATAATTTCCTACATTGAACAAATTCGTCAGGCTGTGGTATCTTCAAGTCCCATATCTGGTATTAATGATCTAAAATCAAAAATTTACTGCAAATGGATGTGCATTTATATATTTTTGCCTAACAGTCTACAACCAAGTTGTTCCTTGATGAAGATGGTAAGTTACAAAATTTTTAAACATTGCATATTCATATTTATATACTTTTTTTCAGATGTGGTTCGTTCTCACAGACTTTATGAGATGTTGGATAAGAACCATTGTATGCAACTGCAACTGCATTGTTGATGTCGGAGATGGCTGTTCACAAATCATTGTCAGACTTTGGATTGCCTAGTCTCAGGCTACAAGTATGTATAATGTGTAAATCCTCTGAAATTGAGTTTAAACATGCCCTGCCCTATCTGGTATTTTTTTTATATTAGGAACCTTAACATATCATTATAAAATTGTATCCCACACCAAGGTGTAAACATCTTAATGTTTCTTGAATCTATGCAACTTTTTTGCCGATATAAACCATCGCGATATTGCACACAAAACTCCATATCTATTTTGGAAGGATAAGGAGGCGAATGATCTCCCTAAGAATGGATTCATGCATCCAGGCACTTGAAAGCATGTTTGAAGGAGCCAACCTTACTGAAATAAGTGAATTTGCTTTTTGTGACTGACGTGTTACACTGCAATTTGTAAATTAAAGGTAGGCATAAGCCTGTATATTCATAAAAGTTAAAAGCTATTGAGTTCAAGAGGAGCTTTGTTATGCCTGGGAAGGGGGTTCTCAACTGTCTAATGGTTAATGTTGCATGTGAGAGATAAAATGTCACACGAAACTCGATAAAGTGGCTTTTTGAATATTGTAATCGACATTTCTATTTGACAAAATCTCACAAAGCTGATGCCATAGGTTAAATAAGAATCCAGTGATCTAGCAAAAATGCTATATGAAATACATATTTTAACACTCATGGTTATATCTTATATCGGTACTTATTAGTAAAACATAAGAAATCACGTTTACTTATAATACTATTTTTTTTAGGTCTACTTGCATTGCTCAAAGAACATCCAATCCTGATAAGCCCAGGGTACAAGATATTGTTCCAAGACAATAACTCCAGTGTAAGGAACATTATTAGAAGAAAAAAAAGAGTCAATATATTTAAATTGGATATTTCAAGAAGTTTGATACCTAGAGTTAATTAACTTGCCAAAATGATCTAATGTACCCCCAAACTAGAAATATATCTTTGTAATCGATTAGATATCCTTTTAGCCCTGTTTACATAGCTTGAAATTTAGAAAGTAGCATATAATCTAGTTAACGTGATGCTAGAGAAAAAACATTTGTTTTAAGAGAAAAGAAGGATTAAAAATTGATAAAATCTATATTTCTAGATATTTTTGAACGAACCTATTTATTTTACCAAGTATTCTTTTATTTATATTCTGCAAGTACCTATTGGAAAATATGATACATGAAATTGTTAAGCAATTCATAGATAGTATGTCAAAATGCATAAGTATCAGTAATCAAATGAAGTCTGTATATCTAAAGGTATAAATAATAACAGGAAATATGAACAAATATATAGTCAAAAAAACATATCAAAAATGAAAAACTACAATAGGTGTATTACAATAACCTTTAATACATTCAAATTTACTTACATAAAATATATAAGCTGTTTTGAATGTTAATGTTTAAGAGGACAACTTTTGGTTCCATTTTAAGAAGAAAACTTCATATAATTGTTTCCTAAACGTCTTGACTTTTGAGTAACAGGGTAGTAAGCTTTTTAAAAATCAATCATTTTTTTTTTGTTACGATCTGTAATATCACTTTAAATACTTTATTAAAATTCTGCATATATGTACTATCAAGAGGTATTTTTAATGTACGAATTTTCTTTTGATTTCCACCTGCGACGATCGTACCGATTTCACTGGCTTATTTTGGCAGACAATGATAGTACGCAACTGATTTCCCTTAAAATGAAATTTTTTCATTGAAATCCCGTCATTTCTAGGCAAATTTGATTGCTTAATTTTTGTTCACTCCGTTGCACGGTATTCGTTTACAAAAATAAAATAACGTTTCTTTGCATGATCCTAATATCGGTAGTGTGATAATGTCACTATGTCGAGAAATATATTGTATTTTTCAGGTGAAAACCGTGCCTCAGACTAAAAGACTTTTTCATGTCCGACCCACTATTTCCACTCAAAAAATTCCCTGCATAGTGATATTGTCATGTTAACAATATTGTTATGATCGGTTTTATAAAAACCGTGCATCAGATTGAAAAAAAATCATTTCGCATGGATGTTTGCTTCGAAGTGATTGAACATTTTAATGAGAGAGAGAAATAAGCAGCATACCAACACTGTCTATTAAAACAGGCAGGTAAAATTAAAAGAGTGCCTCTTGACACGTTTACATGTATGCCAAATTTCATTAAGTGGTAATACGGATATTCATAATCAAGGATTTATTTTTTTGACCTTTTAAAACTTTTAGGATATACGATCATTTGAAGTTTTGATCTTAAGATGGACCTGAAACCACCCCCCTAGATATGGACATTAAATTAGGAAACAAACTAAATTGCAGCTACCAATACCTCAAGAGATGAATGCAGACTTTCGAGCCAAAGATTTCATATTTTTTTTACTGTGGCTATCATAACTAGCAAAATCTGCTCTTCATATCAGTGTTTTGAATATCAAACCTGTTCAGTTTTTGATATTTGTTTCTCAAACAGTAAATGTTTTTCTTTCCTACGCAACAGTTTTAATAGATTTTCCCTTTTATGTTAAAATTACAATTCAATGAACAAATTGGAAAAGAAACTGTATTTAGCTGTCCTCACTTTTTCTTCATATACCACATTCTACAACATTACTATATGCTGCAACACATTTGATAAATACTTGTTCTTTGAGATCTCCTTGTTCTTGATGATGCCACTGAAATATGCTCAGTAGCTGAAGGCTCCATTATTGATAGTGATTTACATCCAAAATTTATAGCCAGCAGTTTAAATACAAATCAAATTCTGTACCTCAGAGCCAGGTTAGGTTAAGTTCATTTTTGCCTAAAATGAGTCTTACATGTTAAGTTCATGATAAAGTTGGGAGTTTTAATTTGATACTTGCAACATCTATCTACCTGTAATGTTGAGTGAATTATGAATGCAATGAAACCATCTTAAAACTACCTATTAGGGCTTAACCCAGTCTGACTTAGAGGCAACTACAATTTTCAACATAATGGGTCTTTTCCGCTTATATAGTTGTTTGAATTGTTTGGAGTTTGTTTAACACATTCGTAATTAATTATGGAATTGTCGTAAAGTTTTTCAGATTTTGCTTCATGCTGCAACTCTATT